ATTATGTACCTGATTCCCTAGGTCCCTCTGTTGTACAACACGACCCAAGACCCTACCATTCATTGTATAAGCCCTACCCTTGCTTGTTTTGCCAAAATGCAATACCTCGCATTTTCCCTGGCCACTCCCTATGGATAAACTCATATTTTTCCACGTTATATTCCATCTACTGTGTTCTAACCCATTCATTAAGCCTGTGCAAATCCTCCCGAACCATCTTTACATCTTCCTCACAAGCACACGTTCCTATTTCACTTTGATCATCCACAAATTTGGAAGTATTATATTCAGCCCCCACTTCTCAATTGGCCCCACATCCACAAACATCCCACTCCCTCCCCCACCGACGCTCAGTCGCAGCAGTGTGTACCATCTACAAGATGCCCTGCAGAAACTCACCAAGGCCCCTCAGGCAGCACCTTCCAAACCCATGACCACTTCCATCTGGAAGGACAAGGGGCAGCAGATACATGGGAACACCACCCCCTGCAAGTTCCCCTCCGAGCCACTCCCCATCCTGACTTGGGAAATATATCCCCGTTCCTTCAGTGTCGCTGGGTCAGAATCCTGGAATTCCCTCCCTAAGGGATATTGTGGGGCAACCCTACAGCACATGGACTGCAGCGGGTCAAGAAGGCAGCTCACCCCCACCTTCTCAAGGGGGGCCAACTAGGGACGGGGCAAGAAATGCTGGGCCCAGGCAGCAACACCCACATCCCACAAATGAATACATTTTTAAAAATCTCCAAATCATTAATAACTATTTTGATGGCTAAGTCCAAATGCTGATCTTTGTGGGACCCAACATGCATTTTGGAAGGTCAAGTACAGGTGGAAATTATGCAGTGAATGGCAGAACCCTGAGGAGTATTGATAATGCAGAGGGATCTGGGTGTGCAGGTCCATAGATCACTGAAGGTGGCAGCGCAGGTAGATAAGGCAGTAAAAAAGGCCAATGGTATGCTTGGCTTCACTGGAAGGGGCACTGAGTATAAGGACAGACAAGTTATGCTGCAGCTTTATAGAGCTTTAGTTAGACCACACTTAGAATATTGCGTACTGTTCCGGTCACCACATTACCAGAAGGATATGGATGCTTTGGAGAGGGTACAGAAAAGGTTTACCAGGATGTTGCCTGGTATGGCGGGGGGTGGATTTTAAGCTATGAAGGAAAGTTGGATAGACTGGGTTTGTTTTCACTGGAACGCAGGAGGTTGAGGGGCGACCAGATAGAAGGTTATAGGATTGTGAATGGCATGGATAGAGTAGGAAGTATGAGGCTTTTTCCCCCAGAGTTGGGGGGGGAGGGGTCAGTTACTGGGGGGACACAGGCTCAAGGTGCGAGGGGGTGAAGTTCAAAAGGGATATGCCAGGCAGGTTTTTCACACAAAGGGTGTTGGGTGCCCGGGACGTGTTGCCAGAGGAGGTGGTGGAAGCAGACACAATAGCAGCGTTCAGGAAACACCTGGAGGAATACATGAACAGGAAGGGAATAGAGGGATAGGGATCCTGTAAGTGAAGGCAGTTTTAGTATGGAAGGGAAAAATTTTAGTACGTCACAGCTTGGCGGGCCGAAGGGCCTGTTCCTGTCCTTTACTGTGTTTGTTCCTTGCCCCCATTAGTCACAGTCAGTCAATGCAAGAATGACCCACTTATTCTTCCTGTCTGTTTTCTCTCTGTTAGCCAATCATTAATCTGTGACAGTCCATTCCCTCATATCCTACACACTCTAATCTTTCTACTCAGCCTCCTGTGGGCCACTTTATCAACAGCCTTCTTAAAATCCGACTACACTACCTCTATTGGCTCGCCGTTATCCACATTGTTAGAAACATCCTCAACCCCAACCTGTTCATCAAACACAATTTCCCGTTTGTAAATCCATTGTTGGCTCTGCCCATTTTTATCCAAGTAGCATCGTAGAATTTCAGAGGACAGAAGGAGGCCATTTGACCCACCATGTCTGTACTAGCCCCTGAAAGATCTACCCAGTGAGTCCCACTGTCCAGCCCTATCTCCGTGGCCCTCTAATTTCATCACTTTCATATATGTATCCAGCTCTCTACTGAAAACCATTATAACATCCACCTCCACTAATCTCCCAGGTAGGCCATTCCAAATCTGAACATCTCTCTGAGTCAAGAAGTTTCTCCTCATCTCACTCATCGCTCCCTTGTTGACAGTATTGAAATTGTGACTCCCACAATTACTGACATACCAAATAATGGAAACACAGTTCTTCTACCTGTCAAAATTTTTCATAATGTTGAACACCTCAATGAGTCTTAATCTTCCGTGCTCCAAGGAGAATAAGACCAATCCTTCCTTGTATCTAAAATCCCTCATTCCTGGTGTCATTCTAGTAAATCTCCTTTGCACTTTCTTCAGGGCTTTAACATCCTTGCTTAAATAAGGTGCCCAGAACTGAACACAGTACTCCAAATGTGGTCTGACCAATGATTTGTAGAGATCACTTCCTGGCTTTTATACTCAATGCCTCTATTTATAAACCCAAGGATCCTATAAACCTTCTTAACAACTGTCTCAACTTCCCTGGCCATCTTCAGGGAATTCTGTGCATGCACCCCCTGAGATCCTACTGCTCCATACTCCTCTCAAAGTTGTACCATTGAGTGTGTATTGTCTCTCTCTGTGTTTCTTCAAAATGCATTACCTCACATTCCTCTGCGCTGCAACTCACCTGCCAGGTGTCTACCCATTTGGCCAAATTGTCAGTGTCCCTCTGAGAGATGGAGTAGTTTGGGGCTGTGCTCATTGGAATTTAGAGGAATGAGGGGTGACCTTATGGAAACGTATGAAATTATGAAGGCAGTAGAAAAGATAGAAGCAGGGAGGATATTTCCACTGGGGCGGGTGAAACTAGAACGAGGGGGCATTGCCTCAAAATAAGTGGGGAGCAGGTTTAGGACTGAATTGAGGAGGAACGTCTTCACCCAAAGGGTTGTGAATCTGTGGAATTTCCTGCCCAGTGAAGCAGCTGGGGCTTCCTCATTGAATGTTTTTAAGGCAAAGATAGGTAGATTTTGAACAGGAAAGGGATTAAGGCTGAGCGGGCAGGTAAGTGGAGCTGAGTCCATGACAAAGATCAGCCATGATTTTACTGAATGGCACAGCAGGGTCGAGGGGCTGAATGGCCTACTCCTGCTCCTGGTCCTTATGTTCTTATGTAGTTGCTCAGCGGCCTTCTTACAATTCGCTATTCTCCCTAGCTTAGTATCATCTGCAAATTTAGAGAGTTTGCCCCTCAACACCCATCTCCACATCATTTATATTAATCAGAAATAGTAAGGGTCCCAACACTGATCCCTGAGGGGCACCACTTCCAAGTCATGTCTAGACTAAGAAATACCTATTTATACCTACCCTCTGTTTCAGCCAATTTCAAATCTGCACTGCCAACCCTCCAAAGAGCATCCCACCCAACTCTGCCATCCCTGTAACGCTGCATTTCCCACGGCAAAAACACCTAGCTCGCACATCCCTGGGCACTGTGGGTAATTTAGCCTGGCCAGCCCACTCTAACCTGCACATCCCTGGGCACTGTGGGTAATTTAGCACGGCCAATCCACCCTAACCTGCACATCCCTGGGTACTATGAGACAATTTCCCACGGCCAATCCACTCTAACCTGCACATTCCTGGACACTATGGGACAATTTAGCATGGCCAATCCACCCTAATCTGCACATCCCTGGACACTATGGGTAATTTAGCACGGCCAATCCCACCCTAACCTGCACATCCCTGGGCACAATGGGACAATTTAGCACGGCCAATCCACCCTAACCTGCACATCCCTGGGTACTATGGGACAATTTAGCATGGCCAAACCACACTAACCTGCATGTATTTGGACTATGGGAGGAAACCTCTAAGCAGACATGTGGAGAACATGTAAACTCCACACGGTCACCTGAGGGTGGGATCGAACCCAGGTCCCTGACACTGTGAGATAGCAGTGCTAACCACTGACCCACCATGCTGCCTGTATAAAATTCCCCATTATAAAATCTCCTGCCCTTCCTGTAATGGAGAAACACTTAGCTAAGCGACTCACTTTTACATACCTCCAGAAGCTTTCACAGTCCATGTTTATCTGTTATTGCTCAATGATATTTGTATTCTGATCTTCCTACCCCCTTTCAGATTTTTGGTCTACCTTTGTTGTACTCCACAAATCTTCCGAAATCTACAAAATTGCTACTATTTCAGGCAACTTCATAAGGCGTTTCTGTTAATCTTACACAATCTCAAACTTCCTTTGTCAACCACTATTGTAACCCTTTTGGAGACTGTGCAGCTCAAAAGACCATTACATTTACTGTAAGTGGCAGAGTGGTTCTTTAAATACTGTCCATTACCTACTTACAGCCTTGTGTTTACAATTATTACCTTCAACCACCTCAGTCAATTTGTCCCTGACACCTTCTTAATGTTCCCTTTTCAAAACTGTCAAGAGAGCTTTACTCTGTATCTAACCCCATGCTGTCCCTGTCCTGGGAGTGTTTGATGGGGGGACAGTGTAGAGGGAGCTTTACTCTGTACCTAACCCCATGCTGTCCCTGTCCTGGGAGTGTTTGATGGGGGACAGTGTAGAGGGAGCTTTACTCTGTATCTAACCCCGTGCTGTCCCTGCCCTGGGGCTGTTTGATGGAGGGGGGACAGTGTAGAGGGAGCTTTACTCTGTATCTAACCCCGTGCTGACCCTGTCCTGGGAGTGTTTGATGGGGGGACAGGGTAGAGGGAGCTGTACCAGCTGGAGAGTAAAGCTTCTCAGTGATTTGAGGTTATGGTGGGTGAGTGGGCCAATGGGATTGGATCCAGCGAAGGCCGGCACACAGTTAATGGACCGAGTGGTGTCCTGGTCCAGGACCATTTGGTGACTCATTGTTCTGTTCTGGTTGGCTGCCTGGTCTGAACTGTGGACTTTGCTCCCATCATCAGTCTTGTCTTCTCTCTCTCTCTCTCTCTCTGTGTATCTCTCTCCATCGTTCTCTCGCTCTGTCTTTCCATTCGGAGACTGCTCTAGCCTGCATCGAAACTCAGCTACAGCGACTGGGAGCCTTTATTCCTGAAACCTCACTCAGGGAACAATGGCAGATATGAGAAAGGTACAAGTTTGTTCAATTTGAAATATGAAAAAGGATAGACCGGATCTAAAAGTTAAAGTTCTAAATTGGAGGAAGGCCAATTTTGACGGTATTAGGCAAGAACTTTCAAAAGCTGATGGTAGTGGATGTTCGCAGGTAAAGGGGCAGCTGGAAAATGGGAAGCCTTCAGAAATGGGATAACAAGAGTCCAGAGACAATATGTTCCTGTTAGGGTGAAGGGCCAGGCTGGTAGGTATAGGGGATGCTGGATGTTTAGAGAAATTGAGGCTCCGGTCAAGAAAAAGTAGGAAGCATATGTCAGGCATAGACAGCAGGGATCAAATGAATCATTACAGTATAAAAGCAGTAGGAGTACACTCAAGAGGGAAATCAGGAGGGTAAAAAGGGGACATGAGATAGCTTTGGTAAATAGGGTTAAGGAGAATCCAAAGGGATTCTACAAATACATTAAGGATAAAAAAGTAACAAGGGAGAGAATACAGCCCCTTAAAGATCAGCAAAGCCCCCTATGTGTGGAACCACAGGAGATCAGGGAGATACTAAATGAGTATTTTGCATCAGTGCTTCCTATGGGGAAGGATATGGAAGCTAGAGAACGTGGGGAAATAAATAGCAATATCTTGAAAAATGTCCATATTACAGAGGAGGAGGTGCTGGACATCTTAAAACGTATAAAAGTGGATAAATCCCTGGGACCTGATCAGGTTTACCCTAGAACTCTGTGGGAAGTGAGGGAAGTGATTGCTGGGCCCATCTCTGAGATATTTGTATCATCGATAACCACAGGTGAGGTGCTGGAAGACTGGAGGGTGGCTAATGTGGTGCCACTGTTTAAGAAAGGCTGTAAGGAAAAGCCAGGAAATTATAGAGCAGTGAGCCTGACATTGGTAGTGGGCAAGTTATTGGGGGGAATCCTGAGGGATAGGATTTACATGTATTTGGAAAAGCAAGGACTGACTAGGGATAATCAACGTGGGAAATCGTGTCTCACGAATTTGATTGAGTTTTTTGAAGATGTAATGAAGAGGATTGATGAGGGCAGACTGGTAGATGTGATCTATATGGACTTCAGTAAGGTGTTTGACAAGGTTCCTCATGGTAGACTGGTTGGCAAGGTTAGATCACATGGAATACAGGAGGAGCTAGCCATTTGGAAACGGAATTGGCTCGAAGGTAGGAGACAGAGGGTGGCGGGGAGGGTTGTGTTTCGGACTGGAGGCCTGTGACCAGCGGTATGCCACAGGGATCAGTGCTGGTTCCACTGCTTTTTGTCATTTATATAAATGATTTGGATGTGAACATAGGAGGTATGGTTAGTAAGTTTGCAGATGACACCAATATTGAAGGTGTAATGGACAGTGAAGGTTACTTCAGAGTACAACGGGATCTCGATCAGATGGGCCAATGGGCTGAGGAGCGTCAGATGGAGTTTAATTTAGATAAATGTGAGGTGCTGCATTTTGGAAAGGCACATCAGGGCAGGACTTATACACTTAATGGTAAGGTCCTGGGGAGTGTTGCTGAACAAAGAGACCTTGGGGAGCAGGTTCATAGTTCCTTGAAAGTGGAGTGGCAGGTAGACAGGGCGGTGAAGAAGGTGTTTGGTACGCTCGCCTTTATTGGTCAGTGCATTGAGTATAGGAGTTGGGAGGGTCATGTTACGCCTGTACAGGACATTGGTTAGGGCCACTTTTGGAATATTGTGTGCAATTCTGGTCTCCATGCTATAGGAAGGATGAAAACTCCAAAGTGTTCAGAAAAGATTTATAGTGGGTTCTGCTATAATGCAATAGCTCTGTTCTAGCGCAGCACTGCATTATAGAAAATTGCACTACGGAAATAACGGGGCCAATGGGAAAAGTGGGATAGGGTCAGACCACCAAAAAATATCATTCAAAAATCACTCAAAAGCCTAACACAAAGGATCGCACGGTTTGAATAAATGTTTAATTCATATCTAATAATGAATAATAACACCTTGTCTTGAAAAAAATGTTAAGAGTACTTGATAGGGGAGGAAGTTCTGAGGTTGCTGTGCTGTTAATGCAGGAGCTGAGGGTCATCAGCATCATCATCACCTTCAGGTACAGTTGTGGTTGCAGGGTTAGGGTGAAAAATGGTTAATTCAGAAGTGAATGGCTGTGCCTCATTGTCTTCTGACTGTTTCTTGGGGATTGGCTTAAAATAGACGTCCAGTTTTTGCTGCTTTGCTCTTTTTCCTCTTCCTTGAAGAAGCTGTTCATAGGTGCCAAATAAGATCTTATTCCACAAACTGCTACCCTGCAGCTTTCTGCATTGTAATCGTTGTCCTCTAACAGCTGCAACTGCTTCTCAATTTCCCTCAGCATAGAAAACAAAACAGAAGTGGAATGGTCATGTGGTGCTGCATCCTGGACTTCATCATCTTCATCTCCAGCTTCATCTTCCCCCTCAGCAACAAGTTGTTGTAGGTCAGCTGTAGAGAGGCCTTCTCAGTGGGACTCAAGCAGCTCTTCAACATCCTCACTCTCCACTTCTTCACATCCAACTTGCTTTGCAAGATCAACACAATGTTCTTTAATTCTTGGGAGCTCCTCTGATGGATCAAAGCCTTTAAAATCTTGGGAAAAATCTGGGAGAAGCTTCTGCCAAACAGCATGCAAGCAGTCCTTACTGACATCACCCCAGGCTTCCACAAATAATGTCAATTACATTCGTGATGTTAAGTCTTTTCCAAGATTGAAGAACATTGTCCCTAAGCCCCTCAGTGGCTGCAATCGGCCTCTTAAATGTGCGCCTTAAATAACAAACTTTAAAAGCTGCTATTGCATCCTGGTCCATGGGTGGAAGGAGAGAGGTTGTGTTTGGGGGTAGAAATAGCACTTTGATGTTTTCAGAAAGCTCACCAATGGTGGGAGGATGGCTTGGCACATTATCCAGGATGAGGAGAATCTTGAAATCCACATTTTCTTTCCTGCAATACTTTCTAAAAACATCTCCAAAAACATCAACAATAAGGTCAGAAAAAAATTGCCCTGTCATCCAACCTGTTTTGCTCGACCTAGAGTAGGCTTAAGGTAACCTTTCAAGGCTCATGGGTTGGCAGAGTGGTACACCACAGCCTTAAGCTTTAATTCTCCAATGGCATTGGCACCCAGCAGCACAGTCATATGATCCTTTGCCACCTTAAAGCCTGGAGCATGTGCTTCATTCATAGAAATGTAGGTTCTTGGTGGCATTCACTTCCAGTATAAACCTGTCTCATCCAAACTGAGAATTTGTTATGAGTTGTAGCCTTCATCGTTAATTTATTTTTTTACGTTGGGAGGAAATGCCACATGATGTTGTTGCGTACTCCTCTGTGCACAGATGCAATCATGTTATAGCCGAAACAAATTAGCGTTTTAGAAATAGCGTTCCCCTATTCGTCAATCACATGACCACTAACTCACATTGCTGGAACACGCATGATAACAGTACCCCCTGTACAAGCATGTTACTGAGACTGGAAGATTTGAGCTACAGGGAGAGGCTGAATAGGCTGGGGCTATTTTCCCTGGCGTGACGGAGGCTGAGGGGTGACCTTATAGAGGTTTATAAAATCATGAGGGGCATGGATAGGGTAAATAGTCAAGGTCTTTTCCCAAGGGTAGGGGGGAGTCCAAAACTTTAAGGTGAGAGGGGAAAGATTTAAAAGGGACCTGGGGGCAACTTTTTTATGCAGAGGGTGGTGTGTGTATGGAACGAGCTGCCAGAGGAAGTGGTGGAGGCTGGTACAATTACAACATTTAAAAAGCATCTGGATGGGTACATGGATAGGAAGGGTTTAGAGGGATATGAGCCTCTGGGTCTGTCAGGGATATGGGGTTGGACTGTGACAGGGATATTATCACAGTGTGCTCTGTTACTCTGTTTCAAATCAGGTGATGTGGCTGTTTCTAGTCCCCTGTCACGTCTTCAGCCGTGGTGCCTCACCCTCTGGGAACTGTACAGGCCTCTCAGAGGTAAGTGTCTGCTTTAGACTGGATCATGATGGAGCCTGCACCCTCTGCCTCTGATATTAGCAAAGTTGTGTCCAGGGCCAGCAAGTACACACACTGCGTCTCTCAATGGCAGAACAGGGGCTCAGTATGGTGCAGACCAGGACAAAGTGGACATCCTAGGAACAGGAAGGAGAGCGAAACAACACAGTGTTTTAAAAGGACAGAGAGAGACAGAGAGAGATGCAGTGCAGAGGGACCTGCATCTCCCAGTATATTGATCACAAAGACAGCACACACTGTCAGAGGGTCAGTGCTGAGGGAACGCCGCACTGTCGGAGGGTCAGTGCTGAGGGAGTGGGCACTGTCGGAGGGTCAGTGCTGAGGGAGCGCCGCACTGTCGGAGGGTCAGTGCTGAGGGAGTGGGCACTGTCGGAAGGTCAGTGCTGAGGGAGCGCCGCACTGTCGGAGGGTCAGTGCTGAGGGAACGCCGCACTGTCGG